TTACGCTTTTTGTTTCTTGATTAACAGTTGATTGGTTATTTGCTGATATTTGCATTATTACTTTTTAATTTTAATTTGTTTGCTGCAAACCATTCATTTGCCTTGTTAGTAGCGCAATCTAGTGAAGCATCCAAGTTTACATTATCTTTCTCAGAAATAATAAACGTTGAGTCGTCTGCAAAGAGGACTGACCTATAAAATGACATAAAGCTGCTGGTGTCATTATTATAAATGATAAAAAGGAGGGGGCCCAAAACCGAACCTTGGGATAAACCATGACTAACAATCTGAAAGTTTGATGTTTTACCGTTCACTGAAACGCATTGTTTTCTATTGGAAAGATAAGAATTAATAAGTTTCAAGGGAATTCCTCTAACACCATAATAGTTTAGTTTTTCCAAGAGAATGTCATGTGACACACAGTCAAAAGCTTTCGAAAGATCGGACAGCATTATAGCTGTACGATTGCCTTGTTCGAGTGATTCTACAGCGTCACCGAGAACATTAAGAACTGCCTGTACTGCCTGTTGGGCGGGAGTTTCTGAAGTCTAATTGAGAGTTATTGAAGAATCCGTTTGAATCAAAATATTCATACAATTGTTTTTTGATTAGGTTTTCAATGACTTTACTGAATATCGAAATAATACTGATGGGGCGTTAATTCGTAACTTTGGATAATTTGAAAATGTTAGGATATTTACCAATGTTAAACATAATATTTATGAGCTCAGTGAAAGGTTTTACAGCAATTAAATTGGTTTTCTTCAAGATTCAACTATTTAGTTCATCAATATCAAGACAATTAGAATTTTTTAAATACTTTATGGTTGAAGAGACATCAAAATGAGTAACAGGGTGCAAATAGAAAAAACTGCACGGTGCAGGAAAGTTCTTGAAACTAAGGAGCTCATCATTGGATATGTTCGAAAGAGATTTAATAATAATAACAGATATATAACAGAAAAAGTAATTTATCTCATGTGGTGAAAAATCAGGAGTTACTACGGATTGTTTTGATTTATTTCTTTCATAGTTTATGACTTTCCAACAAGCCTTTGCTCGGGAATGAGGAAGTGGGGAATGTGAAAAAATACCAGCGTGGTCCAAACAGAACTGGCTGGTATCTCAATTGCCACAAAAGAAATATACAGGAAAGGAGTTTCTGGCAAAAACATAACAATTTGCACTGACAGCAGACAACGTGTTATCTCAGGTCTAGTACTAGAGTGCCACCAAGATTCAGCCAAAGCCTCGGTAGATAACAACATTATCCTGAGGTGGATTTGAGGTCAGGACAGGAGTAAAGGTAATCGCATTGCCGACTCTTTAGCCAAGGAAGCGGCTGGACTGAGAGTTTTAGGACCCAGTGGCACTTACGGCCTGATTACTTCGATAATTGCGGAACTAGTTAAATGTTACACCCATGCTCAATCCCTAAAGAGATGGGATGGAATCAAAGGATGAAATCTTGCCAGGATCATCCTGGGCGACCCTGAGAAGCTAACGCCGAAGAAATAGCTAGCCATTACTAGGAAAAACCTAAGATTAATAGTAGGGTTTCTGACTAGCCACTGTCAACTTAGGAAATACCTAAGTGAACAGGAAGATGAGACTGTCAGGCATGTCCTGTGCGAGTGCCCGGAGTTATCGTCAATAAGAGAGGGTGTGTTCGACGAGTCTTGGCCTACACCTGCCGATATAAAGGAGATGTCTCTCAGTGACCTGTCCACCTTCCAGGAAAGGGCAGGATGGACGATGACCTAGGAGGACAACTCCTCGGGAGGATGTACAATGGGTCACATGTGGCCTAAGTACTGTGGGCTTACACCCTCCCTACTCTACAGATACAGATCAGCGAATATGATAACACAATTGAAAGATGAAGATAATTTTTTTAAAAGATAATGAATTAATATTCGTCCTTGAACCAATTGTCGAAATACAATGCCCATTTTGAATCAGTTCGCATTAGAAGTCCAAAAAATCATATTACTGTTTCATTACTCATCACATAGTCCAATTATTTATAATTTTTTAAGAAAAACTGTGATTACTTTAGAGCAAAAAGTATTTGTTATTCATATGTATTTTGTTATTCAAATGGGTATCGGCAAAGGCTGGTTCGGCAGACTAGAGACTACGGTTTACAACAAATAAACAAATTGATTTGTTAGTAGTTTGAAAAAATCACACTCAGTTTTAGGGGTATTTTCATCACCTATAGAATAGTAAGATATAGTGTCTTCACGAGACCTCTGCTCAGTTTCGAGTTCATTCGAGTCTTCAGAAAACAAAATCGATAGTAGGAAATACACAGGATATCTCCTCTTTCTCAGTGCTCCATTTCTATAACTGAATCGGGATATACAAATGCGAAACACCTTCAGGCTGTTTTTCATATCTTGCATATTTTTCTTTTGAAGAGCGAAACACGTCCAATTCTACTTCCCTCGGTTCGTTTTACCCCCGAGGGACATATAACTTTTCACATCCACTTTAAATTACGGATGAATTCTCGAATTCGAAGTCTTCAGTGTTTTATTGATTCTCTGGGATAACCTCCTCACATTCTCCAGGGCACTGCTTTAGGGCCAATCCTATTTATCTACATTATATTTGAATGATGTGTTTTCCATTGATATTTCTGGAAAATTGGTCTCATATGCTGATGATACAGTACTAATAATTGATGGAGCAACCTGGGAAGATGTAATATCTCATACAACAAACGATCTTGACACTATAATAAATTGGCTTGATGATAGTTTACATTCCTTACATTTCATTTTGTAGTAACAGTCATGGTTTTCCCAATGTACAAACCATCAATATTCGTTAAACTAGCAGAAATAAGAACATAACTTTGAAAAAATCCAGTTCATTGACCATAATCTTAATAGGAAAATACATATAGACTATCTTTGTAGAAAAGTCACAGCCCTTTTGTATGTTTTTCGAACACTTAAAAATATACTGAGTATCAATGATTTGCGCGGTATATATTTTTCGTTAGTTCAGTCACTCTTAATGTATAGAAATCTAGGATGGGGTGGGGTCTATAGTACAACTGTACAACCGCTTATGGTACTACAGAAACGATTTCTCAAAATTATCTGTAATTTAAATTTTCGTTTCCCATCGGCACAAATATTCCAATTTTGTGATCTGATGAGTTTGAGACATCTTTATTTGAAACAAGTATTATCATTTATATTTCACAACAGAAATCAGTTCAAAAATCCTCAACATGGATATGAAACCCGACTCAAAGCGAGTAACCTAGATATACCGAAAATGAACAAAGCTATTAGACAAAGATCAATTACATACATTGGACCTAAATTATTCAATCTTGCCCCAGATCATATAAAAAACATTACTATAAACAAGTTTCACTGAATTAATGTCTCAATTTTCATATATATTTTTCATCCCTACCTAGCATTTTGAATAATTTCAAATTAAGACGAGTTCGTATTTTATATCGTTATTCATTCATATTTTTATGCGTTTGCATTTTTACGTTTTATATGTTTTACATTATGTACACGTTTAGCGATTTTATACTTTTAGATTTTATATTCATTGTGTCTTTTTTGTAGTATACTAAGAACATTATTCACTACTTTTTAGGAAAAGAAAATATCGATATTGTTAATACTATTTACCAATCTAAGCACTGAAATATTTTGCCCAAGTAACTCAAAATATATTATATCTTGACCATCTTCGAAGGAAAGACTTTCGATATTGATGTTTCGCAGACAAGTTTTCCAAAAACCATCATTACCTATGTTTCATCTGATAAAAATTCAATAATAAGACTCGTTTTGACAAACCTTTCCTTATATCTATATTAATCGTCCATTTTTTCTATTGTATGCTTTTATAAATACATGTAATTCAGAAACTAAGGAGCTGATATTGCAGAAAAAGATCAATACATTTCAAGAGATCTGCTCTGAATTAAAGTAGAGAGAAGAAAGTTTTGAGACGTGTATCTCTCGGGGAAAGATGTTATCATGATTATTGGAAACCAGGTACATAAACAGGCATTTTTGGAAATGATAAAGACCCCAAATAGACGGGGTTATATCCCAGTATCCCATAGTCTCCAAATTGAATTCAAAATTTTTCAATGTATTCGAAACTAAATGAAATGATTGCAATTTCAGAGGCAATGATTTTTCAAACAATTTCAAAATATGTGAACTAGTGATCATTTTCTTTTCTATCCATCTTCTCTAAATATTCCTTTACTCCTTCACCACGGATTTGTATCTTTCAGCTCGGCTTTGTTCTACTCTAATTACAAACCTTGCCTGAATCCCGTCGTTTTTCATGATCAAAACCGTTCTCTTGGGAAATATATTATGTGCATTTCCTTTCTGAAAAAGTCGCATTCAATTTGAATTCATTACTCGAGAAGCCCAGAGGATCACGAGCCTTCTTGAGGCTTTGTTTAAGTCGTATTTTCTCTGGTTTTTGTTCGTCCAGTCTTCTCAAGGATTTCAATAATGAAATGTCAGAGAGCTTGTTCTCTTTGCAGACGTTACATAGAGTGTTTTCTTCCTTATGTTATTTCCAGGTAACTTACTTTGATCTACTTAGGTCTTTGAATGTTTTGTCAACGTAGGAGTATATAAACGTCACCATATAATCAATCTCTTCAACATCATAAACTTCTAATGAATGGGTTTTTAAGGAAGTGATTGATTCATTTATGAAGTGAAAAAAATAATAATAATCCTCGTTTGTTGTTTCAAAAGTTTGATGAACATCATCCATGAGCATAATCATCGCTAGGCAGTTGCAACCAACTCCTTCCTACAATAAAAAGTCCTTTTCAGAAGCGGGATGTGGGATACGACCACACACCCCACTTCTGACACCGCTGTTACCAACCATCGAATAAAATACCGCAAAACCGTTCTTCACCGTACCTCCACAAAAAACTTCCTTCGACTGCGGAACATTCTTTTGTTCGATTCGCAACTCACCCTGTTTCCTGATCGACTTCCGTTTCGGAGTGATATCCTGTGTCGCTATGGCAGGGACTATGTGGTATCTGCATGAGGTCCAAGAGGGCGCCACAGCCACGTGAGAAAGACATCAATATCGTGGCAACGGGAATGTCCTCGCCGACAGGTTGAAGCCTGGAATTCGGAAGGGTTACAATTAATCAAAATGGGTTGATGAGGGGAAGGGGGAGTTCGTGTCAAGGGCGTTAGATGTCGATTTGCATGTGTGGTTGTATAGGGTCTTAAAACAGGTATTACCAAACTTTGAAAATTGATAACGTCCCTCTTGTTGAAACTACATCTGTCAAATTAGATGCCATTTATTCAGTATGTTTTGTTAAATCACCATGGATGGATATAGCATTCAAAAACGCGTGTAGATAATGAAATTTTTATCAAAATGGATGTTCTGTGCGGGCGCTTCGCCCATTTTATAGTCGCCATAATCGTCCACCGAGAGGACTATTCACAATGTGGTGGATAAATTCGAGTCCACTGATTCAGTAAACGATCGAACAACACTCGTACGTCGACGAACACATCGCCGCTGTCTATGAGAGTCTGCAGGACAATTCAAGGCGGTTGATTTTGCAAGAACTCGGCCTTTTGCAGACCACAACTAGGCGAATTTTGCGTCGCGACTTGGGCCTGTACCCGTACAAACTGACCTAGAAACTGAAGGTAAACGACCATAAACAACGATATGCGCTCGCTGAATGGGCTCTCTAGCAGTTGGCAACTGACCCTAATTCTCATCGGGAAATCATCTTCAGCGATGAGGCCATTTCTGAAAGAATAACTATCCACATGAGATCCAAGAGCATCCAATGCGTTCCGTAAAAGTCCTGTTTGGTGTGGATTTCTTTAAAGAACGATGTGACCAGGCCATGACTGTCAACGGCGAACACTATAGGTCGATGATTACCAACTTGTTTCGGCCTTAAGAACGTACCCTGGACATTAATGACATGTAATTTCAACAGGATGGTGCTATATTGAGACTGTAGAAAATCGTAATGTCAACTTTAGTTTTTAGGGAAAACCAACCGCTTTGCCACGCCCCTCCTTCCGATAACAATACACATGTATCTGTATTTAACGTTCATGATTTTAGAATGATGAACAATATCAGAAAAAATTCAATATTTTTTCAAATTTGCATTTTTTTTTTAACTTCGGTGAAAGCACTTAACGCATATTGAAGGTACAGTAAGAAAAATGTGGAAAACATGAAATAATAAAGAATTTAAACGGTAAAGAAATCATCAAACTTTTAAATTATGGAATAATTTCTTAGCAACCGGATCAAAACATAAAAAATCCTAAGATGGCGCAAATCAAAGAGAAAATCTTCGCAAATACTCCTAAAACTGTGTAGAGGAACTCCATCAGGAGGTACCACATGCTGATCTAGAAAATGGAAAAAGAGTATCCCAAAATGAAGCAGACTGACTGATTTTGTGAAAGAGGTGGTACAAATGAAAGTACTGCTATAGCATTATCGATAGGCAGGACGTCATAGGTCTCGGCGCACAAAATATGACTCAAACATTAAACGTACTTATGATGCACTGTTTGGAACCTTTGGTGTAGTAATGAATATTACTGGAGTTTTTCCCAACACCAAATCGTTATTTTCAACACCTCGACACGTGTTTCGATCACCAAGTGATCATCTTCAAAGAGGAAGATGCAAACTCGCTTTTACTTCCTCTTCTACTTACTTTCAATCTTCCTTTTTGAAGATGATCACTTGGTGATCGAAACACGTGTCGAGGTGTCAAAAATAACGATTTGGTGTTGGGAAAAAATCCAGTAATATTCATTAAACGTACTGTTACAAAAAGATCTGGAATAGTGAAAGCATTGATAGTTTTATTGAAATAGTTCTTCAACAAGAAAAGTTTTACCAGCATCAGCAGGATCATTGCAAGGACAAACTCTAAAGCTCCCAACTTTCGAAGAACAGTCATGGTCAATAATTTGAGGCAGCAGCCAAGGTCTAGCATCAGAAGGAAAAAAAAGGCATTACTTCAGTTCTAGCACTGGAAGTTCAAACACTAAACATACTGTACAAATATATTCAGGAGCAGATCGGAACAGCATCTGGAGACTTCACAGGAATATAGATGCGCAAATTATAAAAAGTCAACAACATGTGTGAAGTATCGATAAAAATGTAAATAAAGATACACTATGTGAGGCAGACAATGGAACATTCTCTACAGGAATTGGTGGCGAAAATAAAAGTGCAAATCCTCATCAACGGGTTGAAGAACATCAGCTACAGAAAGTCCTGAGCATACATCTACATTTAGCGATAAAGGCTACAATGGTATCTGGGAAATAAGAACTGTAAGCATGAGTCTAAAATAATGAAATTCAAGTTCAGAAAAGTGACTTCGTCCACAGAACCATTACTAGGAGAGATGACCTAGGAATTATCTGAGCACAAGATTGAGCAGTTTCAGGTACATTATATTTATATTTTCCTCAATGATAAACTGTTAGTTTTTCCACCGACAATAGTTTTTTCTTCAGACCAACTAAGTCAATTTTCAGTCCCATCCAACAGAAATATCTTTCAATTTGATGAATATTTTCACGTATGAGGTAGAAAACAAATGAATCAGTTACACTCTCAACGATTTTCAAGACCACCCTAGAATAACTAAAACACCTTTTCAACTGCGACACGCAGAACAGGGCTTCCTTGTCATTCTGCACTCTATCGGCCAATGTCTCAACCAGCGAGTCCAACTGTTTCAAAGCCGGCTTGTCGAGGATAGTGAGCAGTGTTTTGTTATCGATTAGCCTCTGTTGCACTTCGGGCAGGCGCAGAGATAGAAGGCGCTGATGGGATGCGTCCACAGGTTTCTTGTTATCCGCTGAGCATAAGCCTAGCTCATCCAGCCGGTGGAGGGCGCTCTTGTAGGCGTCGATGTGGCGTTGAAGTTCATTTTTAATGGCCACGTGGAGATGGGTTAGCCCGGAGACGTCAGGGGTGAGGCCGTGGCAGCCGAGACCTGTAACAAAATGAAAATTTTGGAAATCTATAGAGCTCCTCAATAGGGCAGTTCAAATATTTTATATAATATATTTTTATACATGTATAATATGTCTTTATGAATAAATTTGGTGTGATTAGGTTTAATACCCATCAGTTATTGCACCTTCTGATCATACCATCCTGTGCCACGCCGAAACTGTTGGTTTGAGTTATATTAGGTTGATTTCTCTTTTCCGTTCCGAATAATCATGGTTTTGCATTTGTTACATTCAAATCCGCAACAGGAAAGGTAGTTCAACAAGGAAACCTGGCCTCATCAAGAAATATTTTCAATGAATCGGTTACTACAAAGGCTTGTGGAATACACACTGGTTGAGAGACAACAAGAGCCTCGCCAGAAACAGAGACTTCCAGTGCTATCATCTCGCGTCTGTTGGATACTATAAAAAGAATTGGGTCTGGTGGAACACTTGTACCTGATTCAGATCAGGGAACACAATATGTAGCTACCTCACAAAAACCAAACACGAACAACAACTCCAAAAATTCCATTTACAGGATGATATTTGTGTGCGTCCAATATAGGTATTACCAAGAAACTGTTGAAAGCCCTTGTTTTCACAAGGTAAATATTCAGCGAGGAGAAATCAGCAAATCGAGACTGGCAGAGCAAGTTTGGACCAACCAACAATGGTCCAAAGTTGAAATCATCCACAAAGAGAAACATTGGTTGAAAAAGAAGTTTGAGGGTGCTGCGTAAAGGTTGAACAACGACGCATTCAGCCAGGGTAGTGTGGGTATTTGTAATTTATGGAAACCCCCAAGCAGGCGAGAATACGGGTGAATATTCAACGTGAAACCGAGGGAAGAAAGGGGAATATTACAGTTAGCACTCGGAGATGATAGCTAATGGTAACAAACAAAATGTTGTGAAATAGCAATTTTTCTTCAGTTTGTTCGTTATTTCTAATTATTATTATTTTTCATTACTACCACTTTTATGTTTTTGACATTTTAATTGTTGTTTAACCCATTTAATAATTCAAGTCACCGTAACTTGTTTTCATTACAAGTTTCACAGCCCATGATAATTTCTTTCTGTTTTTTTTTATATTAATTTCTTTTCTTAATCAATTCATTCAAATAATTTGATTTTAGTATTTCTAATATAAGTAGGTATATAATTTTTTTTCATTTCAGATTTCGAATATAATAGAACTTTTTTAGGCAATGGACGTCGGAACACTTATAAATAAAGTTATTACCAAGGTGATTGTAATAATTTAAGGATAAATTAATGTCTATTATAAAACATTAAAAAGTTTTTAAGGTTATGGAAGAAACAATCAAGATTTCTATATTGTGTTGAATTCTGGATATGACCTAAAGCATATGATATCTAATGTTGAGGTGTTTGCATTTACTAGAAATATTTCCCTGCACTATATAGTATTAACAAAAAATTAACAAGATGAAAACATTTTTTGGATAGTAGGTATATATAAATTCAACCGAACGAGTTAATAGCAAATGTAAGTGATTGTAACAAAAAACAAAGTTATTTGGTTCACACATACATTACAAAAATAATGAAAAAAAAGGGGACACCCGGGTTTGAACCGGGGACCTCTCGATCTGCAGTCGAATGCTCTACCACTGAGCTATATCCCCACATTATTTATTTGATATTTCATACTTCATAAGCAAAAAATATTTCTCGTCATAATGATCTATTTGATTTGTTCATAGCTCATAAAAAATATATACAGCATGTTATTAACTATGGTAGCAGTAGAGTAATCGGAATGATAGTAGTAATGGGTTTACGAATGAAATGTTTTTGGTCAAAATCGACTGTCAACATTACAAAATTGAAAGAATACTAATAATATTTAGATGAAATGATATGGTTTATTGTTTAGGCATTGTGCTATTAAAATAGTTTGATCAGGAGTTCAAAACGCAACTGGTCGATATAGGTACTTGATGAAAATTCATATCAGAACTTACTGATAGCAAAAATTAGTAATACAGTTCATCAAACGTTTAGCTAAGTAAATAACCAATTGCTTATTCAAACAAAATTGATAATGAATTTGTTAATCAAAAACCAAAAGTATCTATTTTAAGCACCTACACAGTATGCATTGATTTTTGTACATCGCTGTCAATAAAAGATAACAACTGATGATTATTTTACCAAATTAGACATTCGCGATCTGGTTGATTGAATACAACAATCAAATACAAACGAAAAAAATTTGATTAATGACTTCATTTTATTTGTTGTGCGTAAAGCCGTGGTTGCGTCACGGATCAAATAAAACCGCCTTAACGGCTTCGAGAACGGTCGTTTAAACAAGAGCTGGCTTATCAATGACTGCACTTCAGGCCTACAGAAGGACAAAAATATTATTTACAAGTAGGTCTTTCATTATAGTCCGGTCAAATTTGACCAAAAAATAAGAGTAAAGCTCCCTAAATTCCCACCAAGCTGAAAATTAGTAAAATTGTTTGAAATATGATTAAAAATTAAATTTGAAAGTTCCCCATCTCTCCACTGTATGGAAAAAAAATTATTCAAGATCAAAGGTCAAAAAAATGAGTTTTTCGCGATTTTCAGCAAAATGGTAAGTTTTATCATGAAAATATCATGAATCAGACAAAAACTGTAGATCATAAAATTATCTACAAAAAATGGTTCAATACTTCTTTCCCTACGAAACACCGTTTTTGAGACATAACGATTCAAAAAGTTGTACAGAGGAAAATTGTAGATCATAAAATTATCTACAAAAAATTTATCAATACTTTTTTTCCTACGAGCCACCGTGTTTTAGATATAACGATTCAAGGAGTTGTAAAAGGTTTAGGTTTAGGTAGTTCCGAATGTCTAATTTGACCGGACTAATTAGGAGCTCCCTACTTTTAAATTTGAATGAAACAAAGTCTGTGTGAGATATCATCGAAATTTTGTAATGAATCGATCGTGCATGACAGGACAAAACACAAGCACTATTACAGGAAAATCCTTAAAGCGCTCTAAGAGCGGTGCCTGTGCGAAAGTAGCGATTCACATTGGATTTGAATCGCTTGAGATTAAATCCATTTGGAAAAACATTCTCAGGAAGTTTATTCTACATAAACGCAGTCCTCCAAATGAAAGAGTTCTTGAACAGTTGAGTTCGAGGTGTACTGAGTTGAACCTCAAACCAATGAGCAGCCACAGTCCGTCATTTTGAAGACAGCTGTAGTTTGTAGCTTATTCGCATACCTACAACTGTGTCTAAGGAAAATCTCATAAGGAAAAGTCTAACGGGATATGTTTGCATGATCTTGCTGTCCAGAACATCACTTCTACGTGAGGTGGCCATGACCTTTAATTGCTCGATCATGAAATCCAGTGTGGCATGAGCTGTGTAGCACGTAGGACCGTCCTTTTGAACCACATATCGTTGGTCTCCAGATCATCCCATTCAGGCCGAAAGAAGTTGGTAATCATTGACCTATAGTACTCGCCGCTGACAGTGATGGCCTGTTCAACGTCGTTTTCAAAGAAATATGGACCGATGACGCCGCCAGCCCAAAATCCACAACAAAATGTGACTTTTTTGAGATGCATTGGACGCTCTTGGATCTCATGTGAATTGATATCGTCCTGAGTTCGACGATTCCGCAATCAGAAATGGGCCTCATCGTTGAAGATGATTTTTCGATGAAAATTAGGTACAATTTCCAACAAATTCATTATTTGCATGTGTTGTAGATTGTTATACTCGTCCATGGTGATTTGGCAAAACAGGCTAATGAATGACAACTAATTTGACAGATTTAGCTGTTATAAATTGTCAAAGCTCGGAAGTCTCTATTGGAAGACCCGTTATAAAGCAGTTTGAAAATGCTTACTACTCAGTACTACTCAGTCAGATTTATGGGCCTATATGGCCCCTTATCCTTTCGGCTGTTTGAGTTTCTCTTGGGTTCCTGAGGCGGGGCGGCAGGGGATTGCATGGTCCTCTGTCGGCTTCTTTTGGCTCTTGGCCCTGTGTATGGAAGTCGCAGCGTACTTCTTTGGCTTTGCGGGCGTTTAGGCACTATTTCTTGTTTTATTTTCCGGCAAGCATGGATTGCAGTACCGGAAACTTCACTAGAAGCGCCTACAGCTGCCCTAAGGCCGTTGGGAGACCTTCGTGAGAGCTGCAGGTGTTCTCTGACGATGAGACGGCCCTCGCGTACGAGACGTCGCTCCTGATTGTGTTTCTTCCGACAGGCCTTGGGTTTGTGGTCTGTATGTTTTCGTGAGGCCTATCTGAGGCCCTTTTATTTTCAGGGCGTTCTGGGCACCCATGGAAGCTTGCTGGGTGTTCTTCCTTGCAGTTAAAGCATCGCAAGGGAGAGTTTTTAGGTCTTTTGCATTCCTTGATCATGTGCCGTCCGGCACATCTGACGCAGGCTGGAACTGCTTTACAGTTGCGTTGCGTGTGACCGAACTTTTGGCATCTGTAACATTGCCCTGCTCGGTTTCTCGGCTTCTGTGTTTCGGCGCTTACACGCACGTTTTGAATTTCGATGATCTCATATATTTTGTTTTGGCTCCTTGGGACCAAAACAAGCACGATCGCTATCGATACCTTGTTAGCTTCACTCAGGCGGGCTACGGAAATGATCTCAAATCCATTGCCCTGGAGTTCGATCTTGATGTCTACACTCTATGGACTCCGGGACCCCGCGAAAAACTACTGTGAGTGGTTTTTCGCTTTTCATTGTATAGGTTTGGTAGGGTATTTTCTCTTGATCGAGGATCCGAGTAATTCTCCTATAATCATCTGTATTTTTAAGATGGACTTCAATTTCATCTGTTGTGTTCACCGCCCGCAATATGGAGATGTTTTGCGCAGCAGCAATCGTGTTAAAAGCTTTCCACTTTTCTTTTGCGCGGATGTTTATAGGTGGAGGTTCATCAGCTTTTTTGTGTGTTTCTGCCCGTTCATTTTTCGGGGTGTCTGTTACTAGTTC